GACTAAAAATATATAAAGGGTGTTTGTAAATAAGTCCGAAATATTTTAGGGGGTGGTTCCCGAAGTTATTTTGAGAAAAAAAGTTTATACAAATATGCTTCGTTTCCGAGATACAGAGCGTTTAAATTTAAATTTTTTATTTTTATTAATTAGTTCCAAGAGTTTTAAAGATATTGACTCGAAATTTGAAAAACGCTTTGTAGGGATAAATGTGCATTTTTTGGGGTGATCCGAATATTTCTGCTTGCACCAGTTGCGTTCGTACGAGAATACTACAACCTTTTTTAATAAAAAAAAATTGTACGCCACTGACTTTTTCCCGTTTTGATATATATTTAGAAATCCGCCATCCATTCTGAATGAAATTGGTCACTCCAATTTTTTTTTGTAGAATGCACCGTTTTTGAGGAAAAAAATTAAACATATTTTATTGCAAGTTGTGTATTTTTATATTTTATCGACATAAAATTTAATTTTACACAAAAGGATAGTCTTGTTAGGTAGCCCGTTTTTAAATCTGCCTTCCAGACAATGTCATAAATTGCACTTATACAAAAAATCTGAGGACAACTACTTTCACAATAGGCCAAGCAATCAGTTTTATCGAGATTTCATTTTCAAATATTTATAGTTTTCATAATAAGTATCAGCAATATAGTAGATACAATAACTACTAATAATTTATGTGACTGTGTATTTGAGTATACACTAATGGATATTAACGAAAATAAAAAAGGGAGGTAGTACTTTAATATAGTGTGTAATTTTTTTATTATTGATTAATTTTTTTAACTTATAATTTACCGGCGCGTGCATCAAAATATAGAATATCTACGAAAATGTTTATCTTATGGATATTGGAAAGATGTCAGGCATTTTATTTCTAACTATAATATTTTACACATTTTAGATAATCATATGAGTACTTGATTGTGTGTATATAAAGCTGTTTGTAACTAAATTAATATGAAATGTTATTAGTATTTACTATTTTGAATTTGAGATTCAAAAGCTGTTGTTAAAACCAGAAGTAAATGAAATGAATACAAAGTACACTGTAACTTCTAGTAAAAAAAAATCGAATGTCTGTTTTCTAAAATAATATTTTCCTTTTCTGCCATTAGGGAAATGTAAGATTAATAAACATTTGATAATATTTAACTGAATTAACTATTCCTAAAAAAGAAAAAATAAAAAGCTCATTCGAAATTAAAGAGATTATCAAAAGAGCACTGAAGAGAAAATTTTTACATCAACTACTCGTTGCCTCAGAAAGATTAGTCGAGAGGATAATTTGAAAAATTTTGTTTTATTGTAAATATGTAACATCAACTCCTATACCGATCTGTATGGCGCAAGAGACGTTATTTATTTAAAAAGATTATTTATATATTCAGCGATTTTTGATTAATTAACATTTGATTACTATTCCATGGTCTATTGGTGAAATAAATCTAAAATAAGTTAAACAAATTAAACAAATATTTTATAGAAAGTGAACGTGAATTTTTGAAGCACTATGGGTCAAGCAATACTTCATACGAAACCAACAACGTCCTCTTGCAGATGGGGAATTTTCGGCAATAAACACGACTCTGAAAGCTGCACTCTGCGCTACAAAGCTGACACCAAAGCAGTACATAAATAACAAAAAACTAACTGAAAATCACATCGAACTTTACCCATTATTTATGCAAAACCGGCTGAGCGGGAAGTTCCAAGCAATCGATCCGCAACGGACACAAACTGAATGTTTATTTAGACCTAATCAAGTATTAAACAATCGAATGAGTAGTCCGCCATGTACTTTTACGGAGAGCTTACACATGCATTTTCTGGCCCTCTGGCGGACGTTTCCGGCATCCCGCCATGACGGCGTCCCCACGCGGGGCCGGTGGGCGGAGCCGCCCCTCGCGAGGCGTCCCGACGCCACGCCCCAGCGCGGCGCCGCGGTGCCAGTCAATCACCCGCTAGGGCCGAGTTGCTGATGCAGCCCTCCGATTGATAGTGCGATAAATTTATGTGGCCATAAATGATATAATTTTTATTATAACATTTCTGCGCCTTGTTGCCACGTCGTCGGGTATTTATAAATTTTGTAGCATTGCAACCTTGCTTTAAAAACGGAATAGTCGTACAATTTCTTTGAAAGTTGCTAGAATCTCAGTATAAATATAGTTGATATTAGAGATTTAATAATTTGTACCAGAGAAAAATTAGGAAAAATAAGTTTTTCCAAAGCCAAAAATTTTAAAAATTAGAAAAAATGTGGTAGGTAATTGAAGAAGTATTAAATCTTACGATAATGCGTATATTTGGGGTCGAGATGTCGTCAAACTGCAAATTAGTCGAGCTAAAGTACAAATTAAAAAAGATGAATACAAGGTGTCTCAATATTCCATGTACAAAGTCATTCCGTTAAATTCTACCCTCCTTATTTTATTTATTATTTTATCTAGGAAAAAATGGGACAAACCAAAGTTTTAGGAATTTTTCTTGTGATTTCAAAAATATAAAACAAAATTTTGTGAAACACCCTGTATATTTGTCATCTTTTTGAACTCCTCTCCCTTTTCTGATTACTATGATATATACATGTCATATATTTGCGGCACAATATTTTTGTTTATTTACTAATTTTGCATATAGTCAAGATTGACATGGAACCAGTGAGTAGTATGTGTTTTGTTATTAAAATTAATAAAGTAACTTTTAAATTCTTTATCAAGAAAAAATATTGTATTATGAAGTGTGTTTTATATCATCTTCATCTTATTCTAGATAAGGTACCTATATTTCAAGTTTTTTTTTTCTTGTAGTGCCCTGTTACACCTCTTAGCTCATATAAATTATGTCAAATCAGGACTTCTTGCTGATTATAAAATTATCCTATCGTAATGAGTACTTTTGATCTTTTTTTAGACAGTGTGGATATTATAAAACACTTTTCATGGTATTTTCTTTAAAAAAATATTTAAATATCTGTATAGAAAATTTAATAGCGGAAAAGGATAAATATTTTTTTTGCTTCCATGGCAACCTTGACTTTATTTTTCCATTTTGGAGAATCTGTAAATCCAAAATATTATGCAAACTGTCAAAAATATATAGGACATGTGTTTAGAAAAAGTACAAAAAGTACTCTACTGTACTGTATTTTGTAATTATAAGGAGAGGATTTCAAAAAATGAAATATACGGGGTGATGTGCATTAAAAAAACATTACAAAAGTGTGGTTTGCTTTATTTTTTATATCAAAAACTACCACAAAGTCTTTAAATACGATAATTATTAATTTTTATTAGTTAATTAGTATTTCATTACTTAAATGCTAGGAATCACCTTTAATTTATTTTTTTAAAGAATATTATTAGAAAATGGTAACATTTTTAAAGATTATGAGGATAATCAGGAAATTTTTATAAGTAATGACAATTTTTCCTAAATTAACAAATAAAAAAGTTTCGCATTCGTGGGACACGCTGTATAATATTTTCATTGAAATAGGGAAAATAACCAAATAACCAATTTTCAACATAAAAGTATAAAAGTAAAGTGAAAAACCAAGCTCAGAAAAAATCAATATTTTCCAAATTCATTTAAATGAAGATCTTCAGTTTTCATGTCTGGGTCTGAGTCTTCTGAATTCTGAATCTGATGACTGAATCTTCCGCTTCCATTCAACATTCTCTTAGTCTTTATTAGCGTCTTCTAAAAACGTAAAAGTAACGTCTAAAAATTATTTCCTTAAATAATTATATTGTTTGTATTGCAAATGTTTTAACTAGAATCCATTATTGTTCAATTTTTTCCAGTTTTTTCGACGACCTATTTTTCGAGAAATTTTTATTGAGATGCAATCTTTCTTCCGTTCATAAAGTTTTAGTGCGCACTTTTTTTACTGTGAAAACTATGTAATTATGCCAAAAAACTCAAGTACTATGTTCGTTCTTTAAAAATATTAAAAGATGTCAAAGATACCTGGTCTTCGCAGTGTCAGAAACTACAATACATATCAAAAAACAGCTACGTTTTCGAGATATTTTGGAGATTTTTTTTTTTCACAGAATGAATACTTTTTGTTTGTAGACTCATACTTTTCTTTCATCATTATCATTTTTTTTGCAATATTATTTTATTTATTTTTGGTATGTTGCTGATTTTTTTTTGTACTTATGATACACCGTTGTCGTTACGTTTTATTCTCTCATTCAGCATATAATATGGCGTTTTTTTATGTTCTTTATAATTTCCGAGATACTAATGTATACCTACATCAGTAAAATTACCAATCGTCCTGTGTAAGAATCTGTTGAAATTTTCTCTAAAGCACATGGCTATGGCTTTTAATTGTAAAGCAAATGGGTCATACTACTGGCTCGCTTTTACAACAAGCTTTTTTAGCAAAAATAGTTTGTTAAAATACATCAATAAAACAAAATTACGGGGGCGAAATGTTTAATACAAAATACTCATATGGGTATATCTAATTTGGATCTGATCCACCTTCAAACTTTTATTATTTTGAAATCGCTAATTTCAGAAGAAAAAATGTATTTCTAAGGGTCATAGTTGTTACAATTACTAGAAAACAAAAGTTGGCTAATTTTATCGGCAAAAATCGCGGATTGTATTTAAAATTTTAGTAAACATCTTCCATCTTCAGAAAAAATATAAAATTATTTATAGGCCTGTAAAGTTTTCTACTACTGTTTGTGGCGTCATCTAGTGGCGACAACTTGTATGAAAACTCGCATATTACAGTTTTCTATAAGGTGGGTTGATTGAAATTTCGACGTACCATTAATTTTCAATTGATAGTTGACTTTTTTTTTCTATTGCTGTTTTAAATGGAACCATTAATCATTAATAAGCTGTGCAAAATTTACAGATAAAACAAATAATAGTACGAAATAAATAGTGTTCTAAACTCTCTGCATCCTTCTTCAGGGTATATTTTTTGATATTTTCTTTGTCACTTTGCGTCTGTCCTCTGTCAAAATAAATGACTAGCTTAACAATTTGACAGAACATTACAAACTAATTTCCTAAGCCGGAAGGTTTTTTAGAAGCAGTTTTAGAAAATATAATTTTCTTAAGTGAGAAATGTTCCGTAATCAGTACGACAGTGACGTGACGGTGTGGAGCCCCCAAGGGCGGCTTCACCAGGTGGAATATGCCATGGAGGCGGTGAATTTGGGCTCTGCTACAGTGGGCTTGAAGAGCAACAGTCACGCTGTTCTAATCGCCTTAAAAAGAGCGTCGTCTGAACTGTCTGCATATCAGAAGAAAATAATTAACATCGACGACCATATAGGAATTACCATCTCTGGACTGACTGCCGATGCTAGGATCTTGAGCCGTTTCATGCGGAATGAGTGTTTGAATTACAAGTATTCCTTTGACACCTATGTGCCACTCAACAGACTTATTAGTTTACTGGGTAAGAATAAATTACATAGTTTATTGATCTAGATGACTAAGCAGTCTTCCTGAGTTCTAATTAATTTCAGGAAATAAAATGCAACTATGTACGCAGCGCTATGACCGTAGGCCGTTCGGCGTAGGGTTGCTGGTAGCAGGTTACGATGAAAATGGTGCCCATATCTACCAAACATGTCCGTCCGCAAACTACTACGACTGCAAAGCTATGTCCATCGGAGCAAGGTCGCAGAGTGCTAGAACTTACCTAGAAAAGCACTTGGACGTAATGTCTTCTAGTTCTCTCGAAGAACTTATAAAACACGGTTTACGTGCCTTGAGAGATACTTTGCCCCCAGAGGTTGACCTGAACACCAAAAATGTGTCTATCGGTTACGTGGGAGAAGACAAAGACTTTAAAATTTTGGACGAGAATGAAACGGCGCCTTACCTGGCACTGATCGAGGGTGAGGAACGTAGGGGTGGTTCAGGAGCAGCCGCGGCTGCTATCGAGGCGCAACCTGCTGATCCCCTTCGAGATGATGCGGGGGACGATGGGCCACAGGATCCCGTGCCAGCCGTGGCGATGGATACAACCGATTAGATTTATTATCGTCTAAGGTGTATTCCCGAGCTCTGCTTGGTTTTATTACCCCTTTGTTTTGCGAGATTATTGGAACTCTGCCGTGGCTGTCTTGATAGTAACGAGGCAGCCACGGCAGACAAGATAAAATTTTTATACAATTATTGTAAGTAATTCTTAAATAAACACCTTTTTGCTTTCAACGTTTTAAATATACATTTTTGAGTTTTTATTTTTTTAACGGGGTGTGGGGGAAGATAAGTTAAAATCAATAATAAATAAAAAAAAATGAATAGGAAAATCTTTTATTTGCAAATAAAATTGGGAACTTCACCAATTGTTGGTGCATGATAGTTGACTAGCCTAGGTGTACTGAGGGTTCTGATATCAGGTCTGCCTCACATAACTTAGCACAAGAACAACGGCGGGTAAAAGCACTGGCCATCAAAACCCTAAACCCACTAATTTAATGTACACCAGTGAATTAATTTTTGCAAATTCATTTGTAAAAGTGACAGTCTGAAGTTCTACACTGTGTTGAAGATGACTTGTCGACAAGTGCTTTTTTAATGTTCTAAAAAGTTGAAATGTCAGTATCAAATTTGGCAAAAAAAATTTACTATTGATGAGCTACCTTGAATAAAATTCATTTAATTTTACTTGAAAAATGTATCCATTAGCAAAATTTTAAAAGAACAATAATTTCATCTATTATCGTTGCATTTTCATGATACAGGGTGTACATTTTCCCGTACACACACAAAAATTGTAGTTTCTTAAGGTGGTTTTGTAAAAGTTGTTACTGGGAAATGGAAATTAATTATAAAAGTTCATATTAAAAAAAAAAATACTAGTGAAAATTTTATATTTGAGCTTATATTTATAAAATCAAATCTGTAATTTCACACTGTTTGAAGCCGTTGTACCCAACGCATTTTCAGATTCATTATCAAATAAAAATAAATCTTCAGAAGCCTAATCTTTCCCAATAAGTTCACTCTTTTTGTTCTCTAACATTTTCTCAGCTTCCGCAATGAAATTATCTGCAATAGCGATGAGTTGGTTTTCAACGCTCCTAAGTGTGTCTTCGGAAATTTTATCTTTCCTCTTGACTTGTTTCACATATTTTATTTGCACGTCTCTTATAGAGTCCTTACACTTAACAAATAGCTGTTTGGCACTTTTCGCAAGACCCTCTCTGTATTCTTTAGTAACCCTGAAATTATAAAAAGACAAAATAAAACTTGGAAATTTAGAATTTGATTTTCTATGACATCTATTTACTTTGGAACTGGAATATAAATCGTAGTCCCGTCCTGTTGGGGATTTAAGTTCATACCAGACTTCTCTATTGCTTTTAAAGCGGCAGGAATAGCTTGCGGGAAGACTGACATATTCAGGACTATAGTTTTCGGGTTCTTTCTTACTATTTGGGCTAGTTCTTGTAATGTGTGTTCTTTGCCGTCCAGATTAACACGAATCATTTCAATGGAACCTAAGATATAATTTTACTACAAAATTATTGCCTAGTACTTAAAGAACATTTACCTGCCGCAGACCTGATTGACAAATTTTTCACAAAGTCGTCTTTTAGTTGATCTATTGCCCTTTGCATTTGATTTTTTAACGTGTCCACGTTTACATATTCAGAAATCTGAGACTTGTTTATTTGTACTTTCATTTTCCCTAAAAATATGATTTATAATTTATCCCTTGCTTAAAGTTACTATATGGCACCTTTTTCTTTCTTTTTATCTTTTCCTTTTGCATAATACCTAATGGTATACACAAATTTCGGTGGCTCACATAAAGTTTGTATGCTTGGAATCAAAGTTGAGTATTGGCTGTTTACTGCACTCACATTTGCAGTAATTGTTCTAAGGGGGATTATGCTGCTTGAACGTTTGATAAATTTGCAACTATTTATAAAAGTTCTTGAAATCATTATTCAAGCGTATTTAAGAAAGGTTTTGGTTTGTCTTATACCTAACCAAACTTTTCCATATATCTAATATTTATTCTTATCATCCTTGTTTATGTGTAAGTTAGACAACCAATCAAACTAAAGTAGGAAACTACTAGATGGGAGAGAGTCGCCATCTAGTAGCTTCCTATCTAAGTTTTATGTATATAAGCAAGGCCACTACTATAGCGATAAGTAGATTTGTAGGGGTTCTCTTTCGGCAAAACTGTCTAGTTCGACTACCTTGCACTAGAGAGCAGCACCATTTCTGCACTTTATAAATTTAAATTTCAAATTTTATTCATCCACTTCTTGCTACTGAAGCAACAAGAAAATATACTAATGCGCATACATATTCCCTGTAAAAAGTAAAAATGGATTTTTTCCTCTTTATTATTAAGCGAGATAGTAAGCAAAGAAATTCCACCGCTTGTTTCTTTTTTCTCGATTTTATTCCCACATTTTGGGTTAAAAATATAAATTAGAGGGTTTAAGTAATCTGGTGTACAATAATTGCATGTATTTCCATATTTAGCGTTAATTAGTTTTGTGTTCAGCGGGGTCGTTCTCTTTAAATGGTCCTTATTTATTCCTGGGGCCGAGTTAAACAGTTTAGTAGGTACCCTAAATCTGTTGCCGGTTGATGAAGTATTATTAGGTTGAAATTAAGAAATAATTAATCTAACCGGCCGAAAAACCACAAAGGATTCCTAAGAATTTCATTATCCTAATTCCTCTCGCTCCCACAGTTTTTCCCTTTTCGCTTTCACTCATTAATTTTATTTTTACAAACATATATCTTCCTCCACGGTCTTGACCCGCAAAAAGTTAGTCCGTGGTCTATCCTCTATATGTATCAGTTAGTCGTCCTTAAAGGGAAGAGGCGATGTCTGCGTTTTTTTCTGGGATAGGAAGAAAGTAGAAAATATAAGGAATGGATATAGTGGTTTTGCTTAAGGTAAAAGGAGTCTACAGATAAGTTTAAATAATATTACTGATGTGAGCGAGAGAAAGAATGTGAAATAACAGGTTAATTACATTCTCACTAACTATTTTTTAAAACCATATATTGTTAATAGAACGATATGTTTCAGGAACTTTAAAAATTTAAAAATTTAAAGGGAAAGATTTGTTGAACTAGTAAAGTAACAGAAATATGCGGTAAATGTTGAACGGTCATTTTCGTTTTTGAAATGAGTATTTACCGATCGCCGAAGATGATTGACAGCGGAATACTGTTGATTATTTTCGACAATAACTTTCCTTATTATTTCCAAATTATTATTTTGTTAACTTTTGCTGGTACTTATTATTACTTACTACACAGAAATAACAGAGAGACCCCACTGCAGCCGCCCTAGCATTTCCGATCTCTATGGACATATCAGGATTGTTGCAAATTTCCTAGATCCGGTCCTGGCCCACCTGAGTTCTTCCTGCAGCATCCCACTTAATAAACAGGTTATTATCATTGGACTGGACTTAAGTGGCGTCTGGTCACGCACTCTTCGCGCCTTCAGCTAGTTAGCAGCTAAATAGTGTCCGTCTTGCCACCTTGTTATTATCGTATTCGTCTTTCGCCCGTATGCTGAATATCCAGTTCGCAACGTTTTGACAGCTACCGCCAGTGGCGCACAATCATCGACAATAGGGAGGATACAGAATATATAATTACGAGAAATTGCAGGTATCAAGTTTTAGTCAAAGGTCAACCATGAATTTAATGATTCTGTTGATACACGTGGTTCTAATATCGGGCGATACCGCATTTGAGTTGAAAATAACCAGACATGTGAGAAACATGCATAAGATGTTTTTGTACGTCTTTCAACAAAATTGTAAAAAAATGATTTTTTGAAATGAGTACTATCTAGAGTTGTGGTAAATTAATCGAAGTACCTGCTGAATAACAGTAACCTAAGTCAAACAAATAATATGACATATTATATTAAAATAAAGAATAGGGGTTCTTCATTTTAAAACTTAAATTTAACGAATTATCAATAAACAGAAAACATTGACGAATGTATTTTTAAAACATTTTTGCAGGCAGAGTACTCAAAATAAGTAATTAAAAGATTTAGGGATATCATCATCTTTTTTGGGCAGTATTTATTCGCCACTGAAGTTTTAGAAAAAATAGTTGCATTCTCTGAAATAGCGGGATCAATTAAATTTAATGAAATTATTTAATTCCTTCTTTAGTTTGTTTAGTTTAAATATTGGTGTTACTGACATATTTCTAATAGTTTTGGAAACTAGATTAAAAATTTTTTTTTTAACTATTTCTATTGCTCGGATACGATTTATGGGAAAGAACAACAACCGTATCTTTTTAACCATTAAAAATATCGAAGAATTAAAACCTGGGCCACTTTATCCAAATACAGTTTCATATAATAATTGTGTAGAATTTTTACCAAAGTTTTACCTATAGAGGGTGTCTCATCACGAACTCCATCAATGGATATCTTGGAAACCGCTGGAAGGAGTTTTTGAAATTGTGGTGGTGTGATACGGGCCGTTGGGCCTACCAAGCTAAAATATTTTCTAGGTCATTGTACTTCCGGTTATACCGGAAGTCGATAGTAACTTTCTTGTTTTAAATGGAACCCCCGTATATTATTGCATTTTTGAAAAGAGCAGTTTTATTTTTAAGTTGAAAACATATAGCACACCCCATACTTAGGATTGACCGTTTCCGAGATATTTTGATTTTTACGCAAAAATTGACATGCAAACTACAAAATTTAGTTTTTCCGGAAACACAGTTTTATTTTCTTGTGCGAATTGGGCATTTTGTAAAGGAAGACCTAATTTATCGGATCTGACATGAAAATTTTTCAGTTTTTATACAGAGTGGTCAAAAATAATGATCAACTATGACGTTCAGATAATGTGGAAAACTCCAAACTTTTAAATGGAGACCCCTAATTTTTTAAAGTATTCGCATTCTGTACTAAAATTGAGTGTAACTTTATTAAAGTTTTCCTATACCTAAACCCAGTCGTTTTCATTTTATTTACGAATAAAGATTTCTCTTTTCCTAAAATGGTGTTTCCATTTGTTTCGCAACGTATAGGATTGCCGTGGCAGGTAAGTAACAATCAACATGACAATTGTTACAAGTGTTTAATTGCGAAATTTGTTTTAATAAATGTTCAAAATGTCTTCCTTCAACTTCTAAACATTTTTCACACATTCGGATCAGTTCCTTGTGTCCTTGTGGGTCGCTGCTCTAATAGAATCCGGTGATAGAATACGTTAAAAAAATTGGGGGTTTCCATTTAAAAATTTCGAGGTTTCCACATTTTCTGAACATCATATTCGATAATTTTTTTGACCACTGTATTAAAACTGAAAAATTTTCATGACATCCTATAAATCTTCCACAAAATGTCCAATTTGCACAAAAACATAAACCAGTGTTTCCGGAAAAAACAAAATTTTGCCTGACAGTCTGCATCTGTCAATTTTTGTCTAAAAATCAAGATATCTCGGAAACGGTCAATCCTAAGGATAACGTGTGCTATATGATTTCAATTTAAAAATAAATGCTCTTTTCAAAAATTCAATAATATACAGGGAGTTTAATTTAAAATGACCTCGAAAATATATCACACCACCACAATTTCAAAAAAATCCTTCCAGCGATTTCCCAGACATCCATAGATGCAGTTCATAGTGAGACACCCTAATATGCTGCCGAACAATTTGCAAAATTTTTTACAATTTTTTGGCAAACGCCTTCCCCGCCACCTGTCTCCGTCCCTGTCCCGCGCCTTCGCGGCTTCTTCATCAAAAACTCGCTCCGCCAATACTATCTGCGGCCGACCAGCGTGGTAATTACAGTGTAGCCACTACCCCGAAGTAAAGTCACCTCGACGAGCGCGGCGCCCGCGAAGGCTCGAGGAATTAATCGAGATCGAATGATAACGCTCGTCGTGTTTACATCCTCAAAGTGGATAATTATATTCCAGCCATTTAGCCTTGTTCCGACGGAATTTATGGTGCCGGGGCAGGAGATAATTTATTTGGGCCTCTTAACAGATCGAAGCCGACTTAATATACAACACATTAAGAGGGAGATACGGTTGATTGTGCAGCGCGACGTTTGCTAGTCATGAATAAAAGAAACCGTTTCCGTCTGACGGCCCCGAACGGAAGGGGCATGGAATTAGCCGCGGAGGAATCGATGCCTCGGATGACATAATTGCTAATTAGTGTAAATGTGGGACGAGATGATGCTCTAAAGACGGGGCCATTCGGAAACAATTAATTGACAGCGTCGAGGGGATATTCGGGAATTTGTCGCAGCTGCATTGATTTCGAGTTAATGCTCAGATTTACAGGGATTATTTTTGGTGTATTGCTATCAATTGTATATAAGGTTACCAGATTTATTTCATGACAGACCCGGAGACATGACCCATTTATATAATTGATGCCTAAAAAAAATTGTTTTCTTTTTAACGAGTCCGACAAACTTTTCCTCTTCGAAAATTTTCGGCGTTGCCGCGTTTTTGAACGAGCGAGACGCTATGCGATACATGCAATTTTCTTTTTTATCGGAATGGTCAGTTTTTATGATAAAACAATTAAAAAAGTATTTGTCCGACATAAATCATGCAGCTGATTATGTTTCCTCATACATTCATGTCGGACAAAAGTAATACATGATGGAATAATGTATTTTAGAACGAAAAGTAGTAGAGTCCGACAAAAGCATCGGGTTAAGACGCCAGACCGATAAGAAAAAAAAAATATTGTTAAGAAATTGTATCTTCTTTTTACACTTTTCTATTTAGATAAACAGTACATACTCCAAAATATTTCTGTACACACTTACTTCATTTAAAATCCTTCTATATACAATCACGAAGTAACAAAATAATATAATTTCCATTAGGAAAACTTTTTTTAGTAACTAAAATCCCAACTTTTTTTTAAATCTTTTTAATAAATCTAAGAATATTATTTTTTATGGGGAAAATATTTGTTTGAAAACGAATAAGTCTTTGATAATATTA